AAATAAATATCATTTTATTGTACAAGCATATTTTTTGCTAGGTATCCATATTGGTGATATTGTGCCTCAATTTTGGGAGAGATTATTCTGTGCGGATACTGGACTGTTCGGAGGCAAATTAGAGCATCATGTCACCCGGTAGACAGCCGCTGTACGCAACAAAAGATGATGTGGAGCGCTAGCTTTGATTCGCCTCCGGACGATGTCCGGTGTCCCCACGTAATAATTTTTTCCATTATTAAAAGTGATATCATTAGAATCATTCTAGATGAGCTATAATTGAGGCAGAAGTTTACATAATCGTACTAAACTTTAAAGAGAAAAGTGACTGCTTGATGGAAGCTGAGATAGAACTTTAAAGAGTGAAAAAGATCTCTGTCGACGATGATGGAGAGTACGTTGACACTACAAAGATCACGTAATTTTATATATGACTTTGAACTAAGACGACTTATTTATCAGTTCTTTGAATGAATATTTTTTCATGTAATATATAAGCTTGAGTGCTTGACTAACATTTATAATAAAGTTGTTAGAAGTATTGAATGATAATTGTGAACTTTCAAAATTTGTGGAAGTGTGGTTTATATTTTTGAGAATTTACTACTCCTTATAAGAGACTAAATCTTTTACATGTCTTTAAGATATGTTTGAAATAATCAAGTCTTGCTAGAAATCTCGCATGCCTCGATTAATCTTTGGCTCAACAACAATAAGGCATTGTCCCGAGATAGAATATAGGGGCCTCGGTCTTTTACATATTTATATGAATAAATATAATTAGCATTCTAAAACTTATAATTTCTAAAGTTTTTAGATGAATAGAGAAATATTTTAATGCAATGCTGCTAAATCTTATGAGGTAGCATAAAATGCAATGTTATTTATATATAAAAAATAACTATATATGCATATCATGAGGATGAGGTTGGAGCTCAATGGAAGTTAACCCAATATTCAAAAAGGCGGTTAGGCCGTTAGTGATAGAATATCAACTAAACTACTTGTATCAATCAAATTTTTTTTAATATTGATGATATATCTCCTAATGGTACTTGAGATGAATAGGGTAACTTAACGTAGATAATATATTCCTTCAATGTTAGATTTATTAAATGTAATTTGGCTATTCTTGGGTATGCCTTCATAGATAGGTTATAGTGGTTCCCATAATAATAATAATAATAATTTTGATAATTTATTTGTCATGGCTCTTCTAATTTGTTTATTTAGATGCTGACAATATATAAAATTCTATTATAAATCATGCCTTGGGTTTTCTTAACAAATAAGATATTCAATATCTTCTTTCACATAAATACATCTTTTTATTGAATATACTCTTGAATGATGAAAATGAAAAATATTAGAACTGATCTCCCCCGTTTGAGTTTCATAAAAAGTGTGGCCACCTAAGATGTCAACATTTTGAATTTTCATTAGAATATTGATCACATATGTATTTTATGGAATGTAATAAGAGCATTGATGTTGTTGTCAAGATTATTGAATTTAGTAGGATGGATGCCTCTAATTTCTTTACTCTTTCTACTTTCTTTAAGATGGGGGTTGTTCAATTTATTATTCTAAGTTCTTATTTTTATCTGAAGATCATTTGAACTATTTCACATAGAAAGATGGCCTCATCAATAATGATGTGTGCTTTTATATGGTGTAAGACATACATCTCATCTTAACTCTGGATACACTCCCAAATTTTAAGGTGTTTCAATAAAATATATATTTGAAATAGTTATTCAAGAGTATTTCTATCATTTTAGTAAATCCTATAAAAGTTGGAAGAGTCCTTAATGATCCTCTAAATGACAATGAATTGTTTGAAATTTTTTTTGCTAAGTTGATAAAAATATGAATAGTACTTGTAGAGACATTAAAAAAAAATCAGGTGCAAGATTCACTCTTAAGAGTTATAGGGAAGACTTGACAGAGAGATGCATTTTGAAATATATCTAATGTACATAATAACCTTAGTAATCAATATGTTCGTAAAGATCATAGGAATCAACTGTGGGAAACATGAACCACACTGGTTAATGACAATTGAAATTTGAATCAATTAGAGGTGAAGATTTACAAAATTGTGATAAAAAATTTATCTTATATAGAGATAATATTTAACAACTTAATATCATATAAAGATCCAATACACACGAATAAAAGAAAATTTTTTATATGAGAACCAAAATTTTTATGTGGAAAACTTGAAAGAGAAAATTAAAGACCATAGGGCTTAGACATATTGAAAAGATTCACTATACTAGTAAGATTATAGAAGTTCGCTCTTTTTTTCTCAATTAGAGAAAATGAGATTATAAAGTTGAGAATACTAGCTTGATCTCCAGTATATGTAGAAGAGAATAATGGTAGTGGTCAGGAGAAAGCGATAAAAAATAATGGTCAGATGATGGCTACTAGTAGAAGAAAATTAAGCGATGATAGTTGAGCAATGATGATTGAGTGATGTTGGTTTGGCGACCGTGCTCGGACAATGGTCAAATAAAGATAGTCGAGCAACGATGGCTATTGCTAGTACGTAATTATCATCATTGGATATCAAGAATGCCTCTAGAGTTCTTTGATCTCTAAGTTTTTTTCTTTCAAATCAATATCCACTTCATAAAGATAATGAAGCTCTATTCATAATTTTTTTAATAATATTTTAATAATTTAGTAAAAATAACTAAAGCATGCCATCAGATTGTCGGTGTTGATTATCTTAATTATATATTATTATTACAACATTTAAGTGCCTCAATGATCTTGGAAGTGAAAGATATTGAGCTTGTTAAATTCTCTTAATTATGAATCATTTTTGGAATATCTGTAAGGACTTTAAGGTATTCCATTGTTAGTTCTAGGACATCTTTGGATGAGGGAAGGACGGTGGTAGAGACTATTAGTGAGAGCTCTCGGATTCTAAGTTTTCCTTCTCCTTTTATCCTCTTAATTTAACGTTTACATGACATTTAGAATGATTTCCCTTTCTATTTCATATTCTAAACCTCCTTTCTATGGGTAGATTGTTAGTGCAAAATTTTGTTATCATTTTGATATTCCTCTTAGTGTGAAAATACCACATTTGATCTTTGTTGAGCATGAAAATTCCATGAAAAGGGCTACAAATTGAAAAAGATGCACTAGTGCCGCCACATTGTATTCATGAGCGCCGCAGCACCTTGATCTTTAGAATTTTGTAAATTAATTTAGTGCTCCACCACCATAGATTAATGGAGTGCCGCGGCGCCCTACCCTAAATAGAGAGCACAACATTGCAGTAGAGAAAACTATGCGCCATAGCATTGCTTAGGCACCTTGACACCACGGAAAAGCAATGTCGTCGTGTTGAATTTGGCATCGCAACGCCAAATCATCACGATGCCACAACACAACAATTGGTTCATTTACTTGGTGAAAAAAACTTGTTGATTCAGACCCAACGTCGCAATGGAGGGATTCATTTGCAATGCTTTGTCTTTTCATGAGCGCCATAGAGCTATCATTTGCAGCGCCGTGACGTTAGAGTTGATTAATGTACTTAAAATTTAAACAGTCGTTTGGTCAAATTTGTGGGGGACTGGCTTCATTTCATGTGCAAAATAGTCATCATGGGTCTCTAGAGTGAATGAGTGAACAAAAAGGAAGCCAAATCTTTGTACAAACAGTATTTATATCAATTAGAAAGCACTTCTTAGTGTGTGAGAAATAAAGTGTGCTTAAATTTGATTTGTAAGTTTATGAAGTGTGTACAACATTGTTTTTAATTCCCTCGTTCTTCATTTTGCTTTAGCATTGGTCGTGAATTTACTTGAAAGTAAGAGTGATCAATTGCCTTGACAGAGAAATAGAGAAATAATTATGAGAGTTAAAACTAAACTTTACCATGCATAGGCATATGATGACTAAGGTTTTAGAATCATTGAGTGAAAAGTTACATGTTCAACAGAGATTTAGGAGTAAAATTGCTCTAAATCACAATAACCTTAAATCAAATCCAACTTTTGCATGCTCTAATTTCTACATCATCATAGGTTCAGAAAATTTTTGACATCTAAAGTTTTATTTTAAAAATTGTAAGACTTATCGCATAATTTTTAGATTTTGCGGGTAAGATAAACTTAGTGATTCACATAGACAATACTAGAGTAGTATTAAGATTAGGAGTGTCAGTATTTGACACGACACGAAAATCAGACCCAAAAAATTCGGGTTCGACCCGACCCGATTTCAAAAAGGGTCGGGTACAGGTTCCCGGATTCAACCCGTTTGAAAAACGGGTAGGGTTCGGATTGACCCGGCTCAACCCGTGAACCCGTTTAATTTAAACTGCCCTCGCTGCCCCGTGAAGCTGCCCTGCCTGCTCACGCACCGCCTGCGGCTGCCGGCGCACTGCCCACGAAGCTGCCGCACCCGCGCACCCTCAGAAATTTATTTTTTTTTTTTTTGTTTTTTTAAGATAAACATTATACATGAAAGAATGCACACTTTGCTGCTCTAATAAATGCACATTGCCCAGTAAATGTAAATCTTCAATTGCGGGGGGGTAAACGCTAAAATAGTAAACAGTGACATTTCGCATATATAAAAACAACTATTTCGGCCGCCGCTTTCAACCGTCTAAACGAAGACACAGAGCATTTTCGGTGAATAAAAAAATAGAGTCAGCAACTCTTTCTAACTAAAAAAAATTACATATATATTATATAAAATTATTAATATTAATTTTTTTAAATTGGCATATTTTTATATGATTAAAATATTTAGAAAATTTTATAATTGAAAAGTTATCATTTATTTAACAAATTTATAGTATAAAATATTTAACATTATAAATAATACAAAATTTTTATCAAAATAATCTAATAATTTTAAAGTTATTCTCATACATTTTGTATATAATTATTTATTTTCAGAAAGAAATATCAGATAATTTAAAAATATTCTTCCATGAAAATTTACTGGTCCAATTTCTGACATTTTGGTAAACTAAGCTTTGATTTGCCGGCGACGATGGTCTAAGAAGAGAGAGAAAGCGAGGGAGGAGAGAAAGAAAACAAATACAGAGATAAGGAGAGCTCAATGGAGCCCTAGCCGTCACCCATTACCTACCACATGATCAAGGACCCAATGCTTTCCCCCTTCGGAAATTCTTACTTTGACCTACTGCTTTTACCATTTTCATTCAACTATTTATTGAATATTTTTTGCAGTGATTCTACTAATCGAGAGATAGGGGAAGAGGTAGGGAAAGAACGAAAGAGGAGAAAGTAGAAGAGTTGCGGTTACGCTGCTTTCTTTTGACGCTTTTGGTTTGGCATTTCATGGCAGATGCCCAGGTGAGTGCCCCCGGTTTTCTTCTCGGATTCCCATGTTCTTGTTTTTCCTTCGGTTTCTCTAGTCAGGCTTAGTTTCTTTCTTCTTATTTCCGGGTTTTCTTGGGATCTTCTTTGATTTTTATTGTTTATTTTTTCGTGATTGGTGCCTATTTCTCCTTAATCTGTGTTGCGGATTGAGGTTTTCATGATGGGCATGACAAAGTCGGCATTTTTAGAGGATTTTTTATGGCGCTTTGGCTAAAGTCCAATGCTTTCGGGGGCTAGATTCATTGGCCTCCGGTTGGGACGCTTGTTGACAAATCTAAGGAAAATTGGTATCCCGGATTTTGTCACTGCCTTGTTAAAATATTTCCTTTTTTGTTCCTCAGAACCGTTCCTCTTGCTTCGGAGGGAATTCAGGGAGCTTGTTGCAGTTTATAACCAGCGTTGCTAATTGCTCCAGTATTCTGACGAGGTCTCAATTGGTTTGTTTTTAAGAATTGTTTTTTAAAGTGGAGGTCATGATGGCCCAGGGATGCTTCAGTGAGGAAGAGGAGGCGGATCAGTTCTTCGACACCAGTGAAGAGCTATCATCATTGTTGGATTCATTTCAAGAGAAGAATTCTAACAATTTGTTCGACCGAGATCCCCTTTACCAGATTTGGATTAAGAGTCCAGGTAGCATTCAACAACGTCGAACCATGTTCATGAAGTGGATGGGTTTGGATCAAGCTGGAAGAGCAAAACCTGTTTCTGTTGATGCAGATGGTGAACTAATGCTGGATGACTCAATTACAATGGACTTTGATAGGTTATCCATGGACTTTGGTGCTGTGCTCAGGGGTTCCGAATCAGAGAATGGCTGCTCATCTTCTCCTTGTTCTGATGAGGTTCAAAGCACTTCTGAAGATAGATCCTCTGATGCGCAATTTGAGCATAGAGTCAAGAATTTAGATGAAGATAGGGTGTTTACCACAAGTGAATTCAGCCAGGATGGCACTGTAAGAAGTCCTGTGGAGTTTGGTTCAAATCAAATGGTGGCCGTTGATGAATTTGAGAGAAGGCTTAGCTCATCTTTTTCGAGCTGTAACTGTGAGAATTTTCCTAGGAGGTTAAGAGTTGGGTGGCTGAGGAGATTGGGTGCTTTGGCTTGCATTGCAGATAAGCAATTCTATGGAGTTAATTCAGACATCTCTGATTATGATCCGAGCAGGGATACCAGGTTTCAAAGAGTTTTTGTCCGACCATATCGAAAGCAATTCAAGGAACTCTCTGCAGTTTACATGGGACAGAATTTTGTGGCCCATCATGGTGCCATTCTGACCATGAAATTTAGCCCTGATGGAGAGTACTTAGCAAGTGGGGGTGAAGATGGAGTTGTGAGAGTATGGAAGGTGATGGAGTGTCAAAGGACCAATGCAAATGACATTCCTATTGATAACCCTTCTTGTATTTATTTTAGTATGAAAGATAATTCAGAACTTTCACCTCTCTATATTGATAAGAAAAGTATGATCAACTCTAAGAGTTTGCGAAGAACATCAGATTCAGCTTGTGTTGTCATCCCTCAAGATATTTTTCAAATATCTGAGAAACCTTTATATGAGTTTCATGGCCATAATGGGGATGTATTGGATATTGCATGGTCTAAAGACTTGGTAAGTTTAAACTTGAATACATTCTCTCAACTTCAGTACATTCTTAGCAATAAATTTCTACAAGATAATTTATATCTAATGATTGTTTTTTGCAGCATCTACTATCATCTTCTGTTGATAAAACAGTTCGTTTGTGGAAATTGGGGTGTGATAGATGCGTCAAAGTTTTTTCTCACAATAACTATGGTTTGTGCATCTGTATATTGTTAGCTAATTGGTTTCTTACCTCCTTTATAATCATAAAATGGAGATGAATTATTTGTTTGATGACATTATGCAGTGACCTCAATTCAGTTTAATCCGACGGACGAGAGATATTTCATTAGTGGCTCTATAGATGGGAAAGCTCGCATCTGGGAAATCTCAACGGGTCGAGTTGTGGATTGGACCGATGTTAAACAAATAATAACTGTAGTTTGTTATCGCCCGGATGGCAAGGTAGTTAGTTAATATTGATGTCCTGTTGTTGGAGATATCTATGGAGTTTTTGAAGATAAAGCTCTTCCTTTGCATCTTGCAGGTTGTAGTTGTTGGCTCCATGATGGGCGATTGCCGCTTCTATGATGCATCAGGTGCATTTGAATTGTTCTTACTTTTTTCTGTTACTGATGGAGAAAATTTACAGAGCAAAATTCTCATTTTTTTTTTCTCTTCATATCATGATTCAGATAATCATCTGCAATTAGATGCTGAGATTACCTTTCAAGGAAGGAAGAAGTCAGTAGACAAGAGGATAACTGGCTTTCAGGTAGTCTTCTTCATTGATAAGAACTTAGTGAACTTAGAATGTTCATTTCATAATAATTTCAATGTCTTAAAATAATTTTTTATTTCTACAGTTCTGTCCTAACAACCATCTCAAGCTAATGGTCACTTCTGCTGATTCAACAGTGCGAATCCTTGATGGCATTGAATTAGTCTCTAAATTCAAAGGTTTTGAACAAAACTTTTCTATGTTGAAAAACTATTCCAGAAGTTGCTGCCACTATATTCATTTTATCTTAAATTTCACGTTTTTGTTTTCCTTTTTCTCAGGCCTTTGCAATGCTGGAAGCAGGATATCAGCCATGTTCACGCCTAATGGACAGCATATTGTATCTGCTAGTGAAGACTCTAATGTCTATATATGGAACAACACAAACCAGGATCACATCCATTCAACGAAGAATGTGAAGAGCTCTTGGTCCTCTGAGCGTTTTACCTCCAACCATGTCTCAGTCGCAATACCATGGCAGGGTTTCTTATCAAAAATCTCGCAGTTGAATGGCGACGCCAAGCTCATCTCGACGCAGCGGCACAACACAGAATTTACTGAGAAGGACTTTTCATTCTTTGCCAGCTCTGTTGGGAACAAATCTGACTATTTGTCACCTTCAAGTAGTTTCACCCTTTGGCCTGATTTCTTTTCAGAGACCACTCCAAAGGGTTCAGCAACCTGGCCAGAAGAGAAGCTCCCATCAACCATGCCAAACTCTTCTAGTCTCAGCAAATCACAGCTCAAGTTTCTGAAAACTTCCTGGCAAAACACCAGCTCCCATTCCTGGGGCCAAGTAATTGTGACCGCCGGTTGCGATGGCCGGATCCGGTCTTTCCAAAACTACGGTTTACCGGTCCACTTGTAAATTTTTGAGGCACTGTAGATATAATGCCTCTGTAAAGAACATCACAAGCTCAGTTGCTTCCTCATTTGTCTCAGTAGCAACGTAAACCACCTTGATGAGAAGAGGCATTGGACCATGTTGATACTATGAGCATCATGAGTAAGTGGAGGATACAAAAGCAGCCCAGATGCTGAAATGATTTGTTCAGTTTTCTGAGAGTTCTGTATCTCTAATGGTTTCTTCTGTTCTGTAAATGATGAGAGGCTCATGGGTTTTGAGATGTACATTGCTCTGCTCATCTTCCTTGGATGACAAGCATCCACCGAAGCAAATGTGGGTGGATTTGTATTGGTTGCATGGTTATTTAGATTTATTCATATATAAATAATATATTCTTTCGTCTGTTGATAAAATTATGTCTCTTGCTTGTTTGATGGTGTTGATGAATGATGAATGTTTTCGTAGAAATTGCTTGGCTTGGTGTGTTTAAGAACTTATTAGAGTCTCTCTTGGTTTTTTCTTTATTTGAATCGACATGTCTTGTTAGGGAAAATTTATTCTTTGCGTATTCCAGACAGCGTCCGGAGACTAACCAAAACGTGTCGCATTAATTTTTACTTGGTACTAGTGCTCGGTACTGTTGTGTACAGGGTGACATGGTGTGTTCTGATTAGTCTCCGAATCATCCGGTGTCCGCACAGAATAATTTTCCCTTGTTAGGAAGCTCCGGACTCTATTCCAATCAAAATATATTTATACTTTTAGCCTTATTATTTGAATAGCAATGATGAAGAAGCTCTTATAGTCTTGCTATAAAAGCATCCATGATTGAGAGATTTTACTAAATATCAAGAAAATGGGTTTTATAAATCATTCATCTATATTTTTATAAATATATGAAAAATCAATAACATATAAGAATTACTTAAAACTCTAATTTTATATAATAAAATTATTTATATGAAAATTTTCACCATTAACTTATATATTTAATTTTAAGTCTTAAAAAAAAAAGAAATGTATTTCATATATTATATTAATTAAAAATTGTGCACAATATCAATTATAAGTATGTAAGCACTAGACAATTATAGAACAAAGCGAATATGTTTTCTTCGGTCGAATTCTACTTAGGAGTTAATGAATATTTAATTTAGAGAACATCTTAGGGTGAATTTGAATATGACTTTTACTCTGGAAAGTAGATAGAGATGATGCTTTTGTTTGGGATGATTTTTTAATTGCTTTTTAAAGCAGTTTTCTAATAAGAAAGCTTTTTTAAGGTCTTATTTGGGACAGTTTTCTTACTGCTTCTTAAATTAAATTTTTAGTACAAAAATTTTAAATTTTGTATTAAAAAGTTGTTTTAAGAAACAATAAAAAAGTCGTCCCAAACGAAGCCTAAGAAACAGTACAAAAACTGTCCCAAACAAAGCCTATATTTCCAGATGTTTGATTCAGCATCACTAGCAACAACCACAACAACATGAAGTCTTTATCTCATACATGGGATCAACTATATGAATAATTGTTCTCCCCTCGAGCTAAATAACTTTGTATTCCTTTCTATTCGATTTTGAGTAAATTCATTTGATTTAACATAATTCCAATTAAAAACTAATCACATATTATGAAGTCAAATTCTCTATATCTTAATCTTCTTATATAAGGGATGTCACTAATTGTTGAACCCCTACTCATCAAATCATTCCTCAACAAGTTTTTGTTCATCTTTGGTCCAAATGATATGATGAATGACGAAAAATTATTCTGTACGGACGCCGAACATCGTCCGGATACCAATCAGAATCCACCATGTTACCCTTTTACTGTACCGCGGCTCGGTACTGCTCGGTACCGCAACATGGTATCGCTCAGTACCATGACATCCAGATGTAGAGCTACATCCGACTTCCACATATAATAATTTCTTACAAATGACAGTGTGGTTAGGTTGGCATTCAGTAATTTAATAAGCTAGCTGTAACTCAGCAAGCTAAGATATAAGAAAATGTCAATAAAATTTCATGTGATGAGATGATGAAACATTAGAAAGGACAGTACAACAATAAAGTGTAAGGAAATTATTATGATCCTTATTTGGATGATTGGGTGGCCACATTTATATTGCATAGTGTTTGAATATTTGGATGGAAGCTATTTGTAGTTGGCTTTGATTGAGCTTGAAGAAGATGGTGCAATGGAGTCTGATGTTGTGTGCCCACTAGAGATGTGCACATTTCATTAGGGTCTCTGGTGCCTATGGATGGATGGAGACTTGAGCTATATTAACTTTTCTTCTTTTTTTTGGTGAGAAGTTGTTCTCAGGACTTTTAGCTGAGTAATGAATAGTTTTAATGATTGGAACTTTAGGGTTTTTATTTTCTATAAAGTTTTATGAACAATTTAAATTATGACACATTTATTTGTGTATGTCAATGTGTTTGTGATTTTGTTCTATGAGATCTTGATTTAATAATAATTTAGTGGTTTATTTGATGACATGTTTCACGTTCTTATTAGATTTGATATTGGAGATTTTAAGTTCGGCTTGACTTTGATTTGAATCAAGTAAAAAGTGATTATTTTTTAGTCGGATTTGGAACTTAGTGGAATATATTAAGTTTGTTAATTTTATAAAATAATTTTGTGATTAATGACAAAGAATGTTATTTATATAAAATATTTTTTAAAAATAAAAGTTTTATTTTCATGTGCATTTTCATATGTATTTAGGGGTTGTTTGGTTGGCTAAAAAAGAAATGCAGTCTAAAATGAATACAATGTAAAATGAATTTTTTTTTTAGTTGTTCGAAAGAGTAAATTAAATACATGTGAATATTTTTTTGTTTGATTTGAAGTAAAATGAATATAATGTAAATTAAAGATGGTGGTAGACGTTTACTGACAGTTGTGGCCAACGACGAGTGGTGGCAATGGACGGCGACTGGCGATGATGGTGGCTTGCTTTGAGTTGCTATGGCAACCGATGGTTGATGGTCGATGGTGTAATAACCCAAACTCTTAACTATTAATATATTGTCATCTTTAGCCTAAGGACGTCACGATTTTGTCATGTTGGTGTAACTTCCCAGGAGGTGACCCATCATAGGATTTTTTCAAGATGAATACACTTAACTGTTGAAATTCTTAATGAAATTACAATCATTATATCAAAATATGTATCAATATTTAAGAGTTTAGCTTTTTCTACTTAACGTGTTTCACAAATGGTGGCGGTGATGGCCTGTGATTATCAAATGAGCTTCAATTTCATATATAGGCTTTGTTTGAGACATCTTATGCTTTTAAAGGCTCTATTATTTTTCAGCGACAATTTTAAATATGTTATTCAAAACTTAGCTTTTTAAAGATAATTTTTTAAAAAAACTTATATAAAACCTATCATCCAAATATACATTATATTTTATTGAATGCTTTTCCAAACAAAGCCATACTCACTATAACTATTATCATTCAATTTTATGGGTCGCAAACATCAAAAGTATAACATAAAAGAAAGTATGCTGATTTTTTTTTATTTTTTTCATTTGGAATAATGTCTGATTTATATGATTTTTTTAACTAAATATTTAGATAGTTGGGAGATTTTTCTTTTTCCTTAATTTTGAAATTCAAAAAAGGACAAATAATAATAACTAATTAATTATGTAAAATCGATGAATGAAAAGCGAATATTTTTGTTCGATAATGATGAGCGAAATTATTAAGTTGTGAAGCTGTCACAAATTATTTGTTCTTATAAATATTTCAGAAAGTATATATGCGCGGGTGCCAGTTGTTTGTCGTCAATATTTAACTATGAATCGATTCAAGCTGGACTTCCAGTATCTTCTGAGCTGTAATGCTTTTTAAATTAAATTATTATTATTAATTTTTTTCTTTAATTTTGGTAGCCTAATTGTATATTATATTTGGAAGTGATTAACATTTTCTATTTAATTTATTACCTTAATAATATTCATAATTATTCTCTTAATTTTATCTTTGTCATTAACAAGCTACCCCGTAAGGGTCTTTTCGATCTTAGTAAATTCTTTTCAAAAAAATTTAGTAAAATTTACATACATATCACTTTATAACATCTTTTTTACATATCTAATATTCAAAATTTTAATATTACATGAATATCACTCTATATTATTTTAATATCAAATATACCACTTATATTTTTTTCTATCACTTATATATTTCATTTATATCACTCATATTTGATATGAAAATAATTTATGAATAGTAGGTATGTAATAATGTAATATTAAACTTTTAGATGTTAAATATATAAATAGAGCAGTATGAGATGGTATGCATGTAAATCTCCCAAAATTGTAATATGTTTTTGAATAAAGGAAGAAAATTACAATGGTAATGCTAATGGATTTGGTGAATATGCAAAAAGTGGGAGATATTTGATCATGATTAAATTATATTTAACTTGATATTTTTATATAATTAGAAAGTAATTAGGGAATATATACATACATTGAAGCATGCGAAGGGGCCAATTGGGCAAAGGCAAAAAAAAACTAAAAAATAAAAATGTAAGGGGGCAAAGGCAATTCAAAGTGATTAGGGGCTATTTGAAATCTCTTTTATTTTTATTTTAAATTTTAGTTTTGATAAAAAAACAAATATATTTGATATCTTAATTATGTTATTTTTTATTAAATATCCAATAAATTGACTTATGAAGATGGTGAGCGGTGACGATCACCAGTAGCATAGCGGCGACGTTCACCAAGGTGATGAGCAGTGGTGGTGAGCGGTGAAGATCACCAGTAGCATAGCTGCGACATTCATCAAGGTGATGATAGCAGTGGTGGTGAGCGACTAAGGTCAATAGCAGGACAATGACAATGTTTGGAAAGCTTTCTTAATGCTTCTTAAAGCAGCTTTCTACTAAAACAAAACTTTAAGAATTAAGCAGTAAAAAAGTCGCCCCAAATGAAGCCTCGTTTAAGAAGAAAAACTTTGTTGCATGTGTTAGGGCTGAGATTTTAACTCAAAGATCATGTATCATTTGAAGATTCAATCAATTTCAACTCAATGATGGAGCCAAATATATATGCCAAAACGGTTTGATAGAAGCATTCACATGTGGAAGAATCTATAGCAAAATAATTTGGCCATGATGATAAAAGAACTTTTTTTAGGGGGAAAAAGATGATAAGAACTAAAAATCAACAAAAAGCTATTGAAAAATTTAAAGAAACTGATTTCCAGTCAAATCATAGACTTTTTTTAGAGGAACCTCATTTTATTGTCATCCTCACTTTACCACATTGATGAAATATCATCACATCAACCATCACCCCTCTCTTGTATGACAGTAGATTCAATGACCACCAACTGCTTTTCAAAGAGAAATTATAACACGAGGGAGACTATTTTT